TGATGTTATTTACAAAATTAACTAGTAGGATTGATATTATGTTATTTACAAGATTAACTGATAATTTCTACTATAAATTTTGTCTTACTGTAAGAGATACTAGAACTGCTAGGGTTTGAGGGGAGGGAAAGGACTTTACATAAATTTGAGAGAGACTTTTAGGATAGAATAAGCTAGACCTATAAGACTTATGCAATATTGCAGTAAGAAGTAGAGGAAAGGATCAATTTATTCTGTAGTATCTGCCTTTGGAAACTGTTGGATGTTGATGTTATATGAGGGAAAAAAAGGTTAGGTGTAGTATCCGACCTAAGGAAGAAGATAATGAGTTCCAGCCTGAGTGTGGTTGATTTCAGATACCTTGAGGATAATCAGGTGAAGATACTGGGTGAGCATCTGTCTATAAAACTTAAAAGAGGCCAGGTGTGGTAGCTAAAGCCTGTAGCTTTGGGAGGACAAGGCAGGTGGATTTCAAGGTCAGGAGTTCAAGAACAGCTTGGCCAATATGGTGAACCCCCCCCCCCCCCCCCCCCGTCTCTACTAAAAATACAAAAATTAGCCAGGTGTGGTGGCGCGTGCCTGTAGTCCCAGCTTGGAAGGCTGAGGCAGAAGAATCACTTGAACCTGGGAGGAGGAGGTTGCAGTGAGCTGAGATTGCATCACTGCACTCTATCCTAGCGACAGAGCCAGACTCTGTCTCAAAGGAAAAACGACACAACAACAAAAAAAACTTAAAAGAGTAGTGTAGGTCTTAGTTAATTCTAAGATGCACATTTTGTCACATTTAATATCCTAAAAACAAATTGTAGCTTATAATTAATGGCCTCCCAAAATCCTTTTTGGAAAGACAGCAATTTTGTATGTTCTTAGTGTTGTATCAATTGAGTTTTGTGCAATGTTGATAACTCATGTGTTGATTGAAGGAATAAATATCTTCATATTTTATTGCAACAAATGCTTTATGACACTTAAAAAGGGAAATAATCACAAGTAAATGAAGTGAAGCTGTGTTAAATGCCAAAGGATTGCTGTCATATATAAAGCATTGAAATTGAGGGCACCAGAAGAAATTGCCACATTTATGGGGATAAAGAAATTTCAAAGCAGTGAGAGGGTGATATGACCATTTCATGTGTTGCACAGGACTGATGTTAAGGCAGTATATCATAGTTAAATTGGAAGTGGTTTTTTTTTGTGTTTTTTTTTTTTTTTAGAGATTCACAAAAGTATGACTGCTGCTTGCAACTTCTGTGAAAAGAATCATTGGCATATAGGTAGTAGTTGACGACATGAGAATGGAGGAAACATCTAGGGAGAACAAAGAATGAAGTGAGGTCTCTGTGAATAGTGTCTTGTATGGATTCTGGTGTGTATGTGTTTTCCGTTTAGCAGTGGAGGCAGAATGCATACCTGCTGTGATTGCTAAATGCGTACACTTCTAAATTCATCAGCTTCTGCTCCAAAATTTGGCAGTGACCTGTTTACTTTCCTAAGGCAAAGAATAGTAGCACCAAAGTGTTACTAGTGAGAAATACCATGGTATTCCAAGGAATTTAATCCGGCCTTTGGAAGTAATGTGTGCAGTTAAGCCAAGGAAATGCTCTACATAAAAATAGATGAAGACCCCCCTTCACCAAAATCGTTAGTAATGTTATATGCTGACGAGGACCCGATCAAGAAAAAAGCAGGAAAAAATCAAGTGTGAGCAAAATAGGAATATTGCCCTTCCTTTAGTCTTTTTCTACAAAGATTTTTTTCCTCCAATCTTATTTTTTATAGTAAATTTCCTTTCAAAAATGACAAATACTATGTATCTTCCATAAATAAATAAATAATTCAAATACAAACTTTATTTTTATTACTTTCTCTTATTTTCTTTCTTCAATATATTCATTTAAGACTTTTTTGTTAAATGCCTACAGATTATTGGTCATTGTTTAAGGTGCTAGGGATATAATGGTAAACATGGTAGTCCTTTGCTCTTTTACTTGTATCCTAAGAGGGGAGGTAGACAAAAGTTTTTTCAACTAGTGACATTTTCTAAAAAGAAAGGAACCATAATTCCAGTGTAGAAGCAGCAGCCTTGGATAGGGCATTTAGGGATGGATTTTCAAAAGACATACTCAAGCTGAGATCTGAAGGAGTTAGCTATGGCAAGGTTGATGGAAGAACATGTACAAAGGGTCTGTGGTGGAAACAAGTCTGACGTGCTGTAGGAACAGAAGGAAGGACATTGGTAGGAGAGAAGATAGCCATGGACCAGGTTATGTAGGATCATGTAAGCTTTATACCTCTTCATTCCCACCCCTTTTCTCCAGTTAACCAGTGTTACTGATATGGTTTGACTCTGTGTCCCCACCCAAATATCATCTCAAATTGTAATCCCCATGAGTTGAGGGAGGGACCTGTAATCCCCGCTAGTCAAGAGAAGGTGGTGATTGGATCATGAGGGTGGTTTCTCCCATGCTGTTCTCAGGAATAGTGAGTTCTCAGGAGATCTGATGGTTCTGTAAGTGTTTGACAGTCCCTCCTTCATACGCTCATACTCTCTCCTGCCACCTTGTGAAGAAGGTGCCTGCTTCTCCTTCCGCCATGAATGTAAATTTCCTGAGGCCTCCCCAGCCATGTGGAGCTGTGAGTCTTAACTTCCTTTGTCTACAGATTACACAGTCTGGGGTAGTATCTTCATAGTAGTGTGAGAACCAAGGGACTAATGCTGATAATAGCTTAATAATAGTTTATAACATTGAATTACGAGCTATTGTTAGGCCTTCACTTACATTATATATCTTTCTTTTCATGAATCCTTATTTAAGTTATATTGAAAAGTGCACCCACATTAGGATCTTCTGTTTACAGTCAATCTTTTAAGATGCTTTGCTTACCACATTTATTTTCTCATCATGTCATCATAAAATATGTTTTTTCCCACTTAGAAACAGGGTCTTGCTCTGTCACCCGGGCTTGAGTGCAGTGGCATAATCATAGCTCACTGCAGCCTTGAACTCCTGGGCTCACAGGATACTCTCACCTCAGCCTCCCATGACACGATGGCATGTACTACCATGCCAGGCTAATTTTTTATATTTTAAAGATAAGGTCTCACTTTCTTGCCCAGACTAGACTGGTCTCTACTTCCTGGGCTCAAGCCATCCCTACTGCCTAAGGCTCCCAAGTAGTTGGGATTATAGGTGTACCCACCACACCTGGAGAAATCTCTATTTTGATATTATTGTCGTTTGGTTAGAGTTTATCTTCCATTATTTTCATCAAATACATTTGGGTGATATGCTTCTGGATCTTTGCAAGTCCAAAAATGTCTTTATTTTGCCCTATACCTGGGTGTCAGTTTCTTAATTTCTTCTTAATAGTTTATAAATTGTTTGTCTTCTAGTGTTATAGGTGAGAAATTTGATGTTAGTCTTTTTCTAAGAAACTTGTTCTTTCTCTATGAGAGTTTGTAAAATTATTTTCTTGTCCTCAAAATTTAGAATTTCCAGTAGAATGTAGTTTTTTTCTTTTTAAGATATTCCTTATAATGAAGTAAGCTCTTGAAATCTGTACTTAAGCCTTTAACACCAGCAAGTTTTCTTCTATTATTTATTTAACTACATGTCCATTTCTTTCTTTTTCTCCTATTAGAACTTTAAAACTACTAGTAATTTCTTTTTCTCCTCTTGGAACTTTAAAACTACATAAAATTTTATACTAGGGTTTCAAAGTCTTACATGTTCTTTATGATTACCATTTTCTTTATGTTTTTGCCCTATATTATAAGCAGTAGGACAAAGATTGACCTATTGCGACAACTTTGGCCTTTTTGACTGATTCATGGTAATAAATATATTTTACGTAACAACCCATTTCACACATAGCTAATCAAAACAATGTCATGACATATTTAATCTAACTATAGGTGATGCACTCTGTTTTATCTTTTTATTCTATTTTATTTAAAAAGAAAAAAGATGGTCATTGTTAAATACGAAATCAGTGGTTCTCAACCAGGACAACTTTGTTTCCCAGGGAACATTTGGCAGTATCTGGAGATATTTGATTGTCACAACTAGGGAGGATGTTACTGGCATCTAATGGGTAAGAGGCCAGAGATGCTGCTAAACATTCTACAATGCTCATGACAGTCCCCTACAACAAATTATCTGGCCAAATGTCAGTGCTACCAAGGTTGAGAAATACTACATTCCACATTTATTTCATTACTCCTCAGTGTAATGATTCTCTACTCTGACTGTACATTCACAAGAATCACCTGGGAAGATTGATGTCATAACTCTGAGATTAACTGGTGACTAGTAGTTTTAAAATGTTTCTTTCTTCAATGTTTTAAAAATATTGACCTATCGTATATAGCTATGACAAACAGTCAGTCCTAATTTTATATGGCAGTGGCCTTTTTTTTGAGTAAAAGCCAGTGGTTAACCTGATAGTACAGCAGTATAATATTTACACCTTTGTTCAGCTTTTCAGTTAAATTAATTTATAAGTTAAGGGAATTCTTTTGTTAGATTATCCTGTGTTTTTGAATGTTGTTGAAAATGAGGTAAATTAAACTAGGTTACTAGATATTATTTCAGGCAAGAATTTCCAGTGACATAAGGTTATTACATACACTGTGTAATCTTTTGTGTCCTGTAGATTGTGAAGTCCAGAGTAAGCCCCATTCCCAGGTAGTTTGAGCACCAGCAGATTTCTTACGATACTGCATTATTGTAAGCCCATGTTTCCCCACAGTGATAGAAGTAAGATTCTGGTTGTTTAGACCACATAGAAGAGGTCATACTTCATAGTTCAGTATAGTTACAAAATAGTAGAGTCTAGCATGGAATCAGAATAGTTTGCAAAGTTGGACCTTTGGGTTTCTAGAATTGGAGAAGGAGGCTTTCAGTTATAGAAGGGGTTAATTACAAATTGTATATGGATTTGAAGATCTGTGAAGTTCCTTCCAAATCTAAGTATGTTTTTCTCTTGTCCGCCAATAGGTACAACCGTAACTGCTTTAAGATTATTTAAGAATCTACCTGTAAGAAAGCAGTTTTACTCAACTGCTAAAAAATGTAAAGATGAAATAAAAAAGATCCAAGATCTCCTCATGAGCTATGGTATCCTTAAACCTGACTTAAGGATTGTTTTTGTACATAACAAGGTAAGCATTATTTTATTTTTATAAGTTTTTTGGTATATGATATAATAAAAAGAACAATGTTTATTTTCTAAATCAGTTAGATAAGAGCTATGACTAAATGTTTGTGTGCCCTCACAAAATTATTTGTTGAAAACCTAATCACTATGTGATGTTATCAGGGCATGGGGCCTTTGGGGAGTGAAATTCATGCCCTTAAAATAAAGGAGACCTGAGAGGGGCTACCTGTTTTCTTCTTCCATGTGAGGAGGCCACTACATAGTCAGAGGCACCATCTATGAACCAGAAAGTGGGACCCCACTAGATACCAAGTCATCTGGTACCTTGATCTTGGACTTTTCAGCCTCCTAAATTTTGAGGAATAAATTTCCATTGTTTATAAGCTACTTGTTTATGGTATTTTGCTATAGCAGCCCAAAGATAATATGTAAAGAGTCTTTTTTTTCAAAATATTAGTCCACATTTGTCTAGTTTTATCTTTATTGCGTAAAGAGTGTCTTTAATTTGTTGCCCTATATCTATATGAAATATGGTTGAACCTTTCATTTATTAATCTCTAAAATCAGGGATTTCCCCCGACAGACTTTTTCGTCTAAGAAATGGCTTGAGTGCTTACTTTTATCAGGTGGTATGATCTGGAAATATGAAAATGAATAAGATGGGTTCTTTTCCTTTAAAGACTTCACAGTTTAGTGACATTTTTCACCTTCTAAACTGTTTATTTTTTGGAAGTGTGTGTGTGTCAGAAGGATACAAGTGTAATTTTGTTACATGGATATGTTGTGTAGTGGTGAAGTCAGAGCTTTTAGTATATCCATCACCAGAATAACATACATTTACCTTTTAATAGTTTGTCATCATCCAGCCTCCTCCCTCTCTAACCCTTCTGAGCCTCCATTGTCTGTCATTCTACATTCCACACTCTATGTTCATACATATGGTTTAGCTTTTACTTTTAAGTGAAAACATGCAGTATTTGTCTTTTTCTGAGTTTCACTTAAGATAATGACTTCCAGTTCCATTGTTGTTGCTGCAAAAGATGTGATTTCATTCGTTTTTATGGTTGAATAGTATTCCACTGTGTATACATACACATTTTCTTCATTCAGTTATACATTGATAGCACTTGAGTTGGTTCTATAAATTTGCTGTTGTGAATAATGGTGTGATGAACATATGAGTGCAAGTGTCCTTCTGGTATAACGATTTCCTTTGGGTAGATACCCAGTAGGGAGATTACTTGGTCAAATGATAGTTCTATTTTTAGTTCTTTTAGAAATCTCTGTACTGTTTTCCATAGAGGTTATGCTAATTTACATTCCCATCAGCAGTGAGTAAATGTTCCCTTCTCTCTGCATCCTCGCCAACATCTGTTATTTTCATCTTTTTAATCATTGCCGTTCTAAGGCAAGATGATATCTCACTGTGGTTTAATTTGCATTTTTCTGGTGATGAGTGATATTGAGCATTTTTTCATGCGCTTGCTGGTCATTTGTCTTCTTTTGACAAATGTCAATTCATATCCTTTGCCCACTTTTTAATGGGATTTTTTGTTTTTGATTTTAGTTTTTTGAGCTCTTCATACATTCCAGATGTTATCTCTGTTGTATACATAGTTCGCAAATATTTTCTCCTATTCTGCAGGCCATCTAATCACTCTGTTGATTATTTCTTTTGCTGTGCAGAAGGTTTTGAATTTAAGGGAAACTCCACCTCCTTTCCATTTTTCGAAGCAGGGCTGATAAGAGAGCGTAGTCATCATGTTGCTTGATGAATCTTAAAGGAAAGGTTTATATCTTTTCTAATTCTGTTTATCTGATGAAATTTCACATGGGTATCTTGCAGGAAAGCGAACTACACAGCAGTGTGGAAACCTGATGTAGAATAAGGAATTAACATTTATTGAGGGCTGATACAATGCCAGGACCTGTGCTTGTTGCATTTAGTTTTCTGTACTCCTTACAGCAACAACCAAGTGATGTAGGGATTGTATCCGTTTTGTAATTGCTCTCTGAATGGAATTCAGATAGGTTTAATACTTTGCTTATTGTTATGCAACTAGTAAATTGAGATGGGATTTGAAACTTAGCATTCCTTCAGAGTGCTTTACACGCTACTGTGTTCTCTTCCTTTTTTTTTTTCTTTCTCTTTTTTAATTGAGAGGATCTCGTTCTGTCACCCAGGCTGGAGGGCCATGGCACGAACACAGCTCACTGAAGACTTAGACTCTGGCAGTCCCTTCCACTTCAGCCTCCAGAGTAGCTAGGGCTACACGTGAATACCACCATGCCTGGCTCATTTTTAATTTCTTTTGTAGAGATATGGTGAGGTCTCCCTACATTGCCTGGGCTGGTCTCAAACTTCTGAGCTTCCAAACTGTACACCCTCCTCGGCCTTCCAAAGTGCTGGGATTACAGGTGTGCACTCCTATGCCTGATCTTTTTTCCTATTTAAATACTACTTTATATTTATATAGTTCTTTCCCAGGTTTCAGAACAGTTAAAATAACTTTATGAGCTAGAAAGCATTATCTCTGTTTATATGGGAGAACTTAAAGCTCAGAGCAATTAAAGGAATTGTTTTATATATTATAGTAATAATGCTGAGGTCAGAACCATTTTTGATTCAGTTTTCTTGTCAGGAAGATTATTAAATAAAGCCATGGTAGAATATTGAATGTTTTTGAGCAAGATCTTTGATCATTTAAAATAAAGGAAAAAGTTAAGAATAGTAACCTTTTCCTGCTGGCGTGGAGCTCAACCAGATAATACCTTGAGATCCCTTCCAGCTCTATGATGCTATGATTCCTCAGGATGTTAATGGATGGAAGCTCATCCTACTAATAAAAATAACCCTATGGCCTCTGGATCCCGAGGATATTTAGTAATAATTTCGTTTGTCCACAAATTAATAAAAGACCAACATCAGAAAAACATAATAATTAGGAAGAAAAAACAGATGAAAAAGGTAACATATAAAGAGAAATATGTGGTGGCGCGTGCCTGTAATCCCAGCTACTCAGGAGGCTGAGGCAGAATTGGCTGAACCCAGGAGGCGGAGGTTGCAGTGAGCCAAGATCGCGCCATTGAACTCCAGCCTGGGTAACAAGAGCGAAACTTGGTCTCAAAAAAAAAAAAAAAGAGAAATACGAATTATATATTTGTAAAAGATAAGTGAGTACATGAGAAACATTTTAAGCAAGAAAATATAATAAGTGAAGGCCAGGTATGGTGGCTCATGCCTGTAATCCCAGCACTTTGGGAGGCCTAGGTGGGTGATCATTGAGGTTAGGAGTTTGAGACCAGCCTGGCAGACATGGTGAAACCCCATCTCTGTTAAAAATATAAAAATCAGATGGGCGTGGTACCTGTAATCCCGGCTACTCAGGAGGCTGAGGCAGGATAATCGCTTGAACCTGGGAGGTGGAGGTTGCAGTGAGCCGAGATCGCATCACTGCACTCTAGCCTGGGCGACAGAGTGAGACACCGTATCCAAAAATAAATAAATAATAATAGGTGAAAACAAGATTATTATCTCACATGATAGAAATGAATATATTAGAAATATTTGAAATGACAGAGTTCTTACTCATTTTAAGTCAAATATATGTCTTCTAAGGTTTTTTGAGAGGTTTATATCATTTTCCCAACCAATGTAAGATTATCAATGTAGGTATTTTCTTTAGAAACTGGAAAACAGGGGCCTTGGCCTCCACCCGCCTTCATGCCCCCCCCCCCTTGCGTGAGGGGGCAGAGGTGGGAGAGGTGGGGTGGAGGTGTTGGCGCTGCCACGTCTGGGCCACGGTTCCCAGCTGTCACGCGGGCAGTAGAGGAGCTGGGGCTGGCGCTGAAGCCGGATTTAGATCCGGTGCTGTTCATGCTGGTTGGGGAAAGTCTTACGCGCCTGGGTAGGAGCACAGACTGCCGGGCCTGGGGATCTTACTAGAAAGATAAAACCTGATGAAACTCCTGTGTTTGACCCAAGACCACTCAAAGTAATGAACTGGAGTCAGAATACAGCTACATTTTCTCCAGCCATTTTCCCAGCATCCTGGAGAAGGCTTGGTTTTGAGGCCTCTTTGTACTGCTGACTTAGAGATTTTTTTTTTAAGGTATGGGTCAGCTGACAGAGACTGGAGTTGCCAGCCCTGAACAATTTATGAAATCTTCTGAGCATATGAGGAAATCTGGACATTATTATGCTACAGTTGCAGAAGATGTGACTCTAAGACAGATTGTTGCTACAGCAACTCTGATAATAAAACAAATTCATCCATTCCTGTGCTAAGGGAGGAAGAATAGGAGATGTTGTCCTTAGTGATGAATGCAGAGGGAAGCAGCTTGGTAAATTGTTATTATCAGCCCTTTGCTAAGCAAGAAACTGAACTGTTAAAAGATTACCCTTGAATATCTACCAGAGAATGTTGGTTTCTGTAAAAAGTTCAGATGTACTGTATGTGAAGAAAACTACATGTGTCAGAGGTTTCTAAAGTAAAAATCTTATAAGAAAATTGTCAAAGGAGCTAATGCTTCAAGGCCACACTCTTCCTGAAGTTGAATTATTTTGTTGCTGCAGCCAAGTGGCCTCCATAAATACTGGATTGAAAAAATATTGTAATACTACAAATATAATGACATTTACAAAATTACTTTGGGCTGGTGGGACATGCTGTGAATTTAGATTACAAATGAATATTATAAAAGGGATGATTTTTAACCAAAGCCATCTGTTTTTAACTTGAATATTTTCTTGCATTGTATTTTTCTACAAGTTTGCCTTCATTTCTGAATGGTAGTCAAGAGTATGGGTAATAAGGAGTCATATGTCTGCTATCTGTATTGCTCATTTTAAAACTATATATATATTGAATAAAGGCTGTTTCTTATCAAATGCATAAAATTAAATATTTTTCTTTCAAAGAAACATCTCAATACTAAGTCAGCCTGGATAAATTAGTTGTTACAACTAAACATAGTGTAATCCAACATTGGTTGATCCCAATA